CAGGCTAACCGTGGGTGGTTCACGTTGTCTTCCTTACTATGTAACGCAAATGCGGGGTAGTTCCATCAAAAAAATCCCTCCACGAAGGCAAAATTTCTCCAAATACTTAATCCAGGAGTTCTCTTGTCTCCTGGATTGGGTTCAAAATTACAAGGCTACGGAGTTGAACATTAGTAGTTGCAAACCCAAAAATTGGGTTGGCTGTTCAACGACGGTTATAAATATATATAAATAAATATAAATTAGGGACAGAAAAAACGATAACCAAACGACGTGATTATCGTTTATCGACGTGGTATCGAAATACTCGTAGAAACGTCGCAAACCGAGTACGTCTAAAACTGATCACTCGAATTCAGAATTCACATGTAATAAAACCAAAATCCTAAAAACCACAGGGACATCGCCAAATAATGACTATAAAATGACATGGATTTAAGACAGGCTTGAGAGTGTAAAAGTGGTAACTCGAATTCGAAATCTTAATTACTGGCGCCATAATTACCAGAATAATTATGTGCATAGTGAAAATGCCAAGCAAGCCTAGTTAAAGAATAATTTTTTAAATTATTAAAAAAAAATTATTAAGCAAGAAAACGAAATAATTTAAACAACACCAACTTTTTGGAAAAATATATTTAATGAGATTATTCTACTTTCCACAGAAAAAAAAAACACACACACAATTATACTCTTTTTAAATCTAATCTTGATTTGTATCACATATAAACAAGCAGAAATCGAATATCCAATCAGAAACGCTTGCATAACGTGGGTAAAAAAAATCGTAAGAGCTACACTTACAGTTGTTATGTAATTTATTTTGAAAGGTTCGTAATAAACTTTAAAGAAATAAACACGCCAGAAAAGAAAGTTATTCAAGAAGCCTAATTTTTATGTATATTTTCGAGCTTGTGATTTCGGACTCGCCATTTTTCTTACTCGGACCTCGTTCCTGCAAACTTTTAGTCTGACATCGTCGTATTGAAGACATCAAAATCAGAAAAAGTGTGGAAATGACAGGGGGATAAAACGATAAATAACTGTAGAATATACGATCTATGGAAAACTGCTATAATGTACAATCGAATCGTCATGAACAAAGGGCATCAAAAAGTAATAACACAAATTTCAAATCCGACCATCATAGTCCCGCAGTGGGCTGATCGTTAAGACACGGTTCCCAGCAGATCACTGAAGTCAAGCATCACTGGCTGAGGGTGGGTGACCACTTGGATCAGTCTGCGTAGGGACGAAGGGTGTGCTGTATTGGTCCTCATTAAACTGTTCTACCCTAAAGTGTTCGACTTCGCGTACAGGTCTTCGGGCTACCGAAGCAGGGGGTGCATCCCTTCTGCAGAGGATCAAAATTGTGACGGTATGTTTTTGGATCATCCTCAGGGATGTTTCCCAGACCGTCGCCAAAAGCCCATTGTGCAGCTCTAATGCGAAGTAAATGAACTATAACAACAACCGACGATCATATTAGCATCATATTGAAAATATCGGAATTTGAAGGAAAAACCATGCTTAGGTAAATAATAGTTCAGATTTTTAGGAAGGAAAATTGTTTTATAATCCAAGTTAATTTTTTTAAAAATAGTCATCTTTTAATTTTGAGTAAATCTAAATATGATTGTTGTAATTTTAAAACTGTTTAGATAATATTTTAAGTCTGAGTTTGATTTAGAAGAATTTTTATTACCGAACTGCCATGAGCAGAAAATTATAGCGCATATAAAAATAGCAAAACTACAGTTTTGAAACTTTTTTAACACACTATTATTATTCTGTCCACTGAATAATGTATCAGATTTCAGAAAAGCATGTTATCATTCCACTTAAAGAGCAATACATCTGGTTATAAATCTATCAAAAAATTTCAGCTTATTTATTTACGACCAAAGTAAAATGCATTCAATAACATCAACACAAATTGAATAATTTCTATACATCAAACAGTATTAATTTAAAAAAAAAAAAAGATGCCGCGTTAAAAAGTCATGAAAATTTCAGAGGCCATGATTTTTTTTCTTGGACCTGGTAGACATCCTGTTGTAGTGTTCACCATATTTAGCGAAATCTTTAAAAATACACATTAATCAGGGTGAGTAGCGTTTTTAAAAAGTGCTTAAAGGTGCTTTTTTTCATTGGGTGTTTTTTAAAAGTGCTCAATTTTCCCTTTTCCAAATTGAGATTTTTCCTTTCATGTTGATTTTCGCTACGAATTATGCAGGAGAACATTGTTCACATTATTCTATTCAACATTTTCACCCTTAATTCAACCCCAATCTATTTCGGCGCATCGTGAGTCCGTAGCGCATGAAAACGCCATTTGATTTACATGATTCAAAAATTTTGACAATTGTCAAATACCGTGCCAAAAGGGTTTTTTTTCCTTTTACATGACGGTTAAAACCAAATAAAACCTTCTATTGTCAAAATCTTTCCAACCCTGCCTAATTGTAATATTTTTTTAAGGTGCTTAAAAATATTATTTGTGCACTTGAAAAGTGCTTAAAAGGTGCTTATTTTTTGTTGAATAATTCATCTACGCACCTTGTTAATACAGTGTAACACCGCTGGAGCGACAAATCTCCGTTCCACAGTCGTTGATGAAGGTTGATCGTTCTTAGAGGTTACCTCCATTGACTTAAAACATGTTATCAAAGGTGCATGATTTTTTTTGCAAACGATTTTAGTCAGCATCATTTTCTTGGTGTGCCACTTCTGTTGGCGTCATAAAAAGACAGATCTATGAATAAAATTTAGCTTCTATGAAAATGATCCCAACTGATATAATTATGTGTAAAAACAAATTTACCAATTATGAATGATAAAGCTATTTTAAATAATTAAACAGTTATGTTATTTGTTCAAGTTTGCATTTCATTTTATGTCATAAAAATTAGTCATCTTTAAAAGGTGAGAAGAGGTTTGTTTGTTTGAGATGCTTGTTTTTTCTAAAATAACTTTATTTTTCTAATTTAATTTTTTCTGTAAAAGCAATTCATCGATAGCATCGTCTTTAAAGCACTCAGATAGCAATATGAGATAGTATAGTCAAAAAGAGCTCTCTAGATAAGAGCCTCACGCAATTGTTTTGAATACATTTTAATTTACTTATTTGTTTTGTTAAACTTTTGTGTTGATATTTTTTCGTGTTTCCTTATTTGACCTTTTCCGCATTTGGTGCAGAAGTTTTCCCGTTCGCTGGGAGTGGTTTTAATGGTCTCTCCTAAAGGATTTCTTTAACACAAAGTATATGAAAAAAATCCCGTGCCTCCCAAAAGCGATCGTATGTAGATATGGTAGCTACATATAGGTGATTTTTCTTAGAGGTTTCACAGTAACACCATTTCTTTTTAATTGTTTAGAATTTTTATTTTTTGAAAAAGTATTTACTATTAAAAGCTAAACTCAATTATTGTCCGGTTGAAGAACTGATTTTTTTCCTTACACTTTTCAGTATAAAACGTAACAACATAACGTAAAGCAACGTAACAAACAACAAAGTGTTTCTGGATGGATTTCGATAAAAGTGGTTTAGCATCTTTTTTCTTTCCATTGCTATAATAAAAAAAATTATGAAACAAAATTCATTTTTTTGCAATAATTATACAAAAATGACAATTACATAAAAATCTCAATTTTCCGTTCTTCATTGATTTTTCTATTTGCGTGGCTCTTTGAATTGCGGTAGCGTAATGTATCTTCACTAATAATGAGACCAACTTCTAAAACAGAAGTTCCCAGACATTCTTACGAGATTTAAAATTAGTTTAAGGCACAACTCTAATAAGTTTGTTTGCCGTGTGTGTAGAGGTGCCCTGACAATATGCCTACAGAGGAGATGTTGGACTCAACCAAAAATGATTTAAAGCACATGTGAAGGTTGTATAAAGACGACAATGAAAAAAAGCATGCTTTCTACAGTAATTTATTACAAAATGTATATCAACAAAAGAAATTTACAGACAATAATATTTGTGGTGGTTTATTCCCCTAGGTCTAGCTTCTAGCTAGATCATGATCAGGAGGTCGTAACTCCTCAAAAAGTCATATATAGTTTGTCTAAGCTAAGAACTCCTCCTACCACAAAGTCTGACGCTGCCTGGTGGCTATGGAAACAGGAATGGCGCATTTCAGGGAGGGTAGCTTCACTCTAGGATTAACACCATAGACCGAAGAAAGAGACTCCCTTTCTCTCACCCATCCGAGTCGAAAATACTTCAAAACAGTGTCCCTGTAACCCCTACTTGAAATAGTCACACCTCCATAGTCACCGTCACAGGTCTAGACGACTGCCTGGAGGAGTTCTTATTTTAAACAAACTGTACAGTAAGAGATGTAGTTATAAGGGTCCTATGCAAATGCCCCACGCCATGGAGGAGATGTTCTGGGGAAGCCTGTGTTAAGGAGGACACACGATAAGATTTCTGTTCATAAATATATGTAAGGCTCCCTATATATATCCACTCATGAGTCTGCGTTGGCTCTCTGGACAGCTCCATCACTTCCAATCCTGCAGGCATTACCAAGAATAATATTTAATATTCTTTCTATAAAGAATAATGAGGCAAAGAGCTCTCCCTTTTAAAATTTGAGCATTTTAACTAGTTGGAAATAAATAATATTTCTATTTCTTTCCAACAGGTTAGAGTAGTCAAATTTTAACGGGGGAAGCTCTTTGCCTCATATTATTATTTATTTTATATACTATAAAAAATCGCATAAAAAATTTCGCAAATTGTATGAAGTCAAAAAATGTCTACATTTGGGTCTGCTTTGCCAATATTAGACAGCGGAATTAGAGAAATCTCTGAATAACGTACACAGTAAAATTATTAAAAATCACATTATGTTTTTTTATATCCTATTCTTTAAGTTCTAAGGGGTCAACTTTCAATGTTTATTTAATTTCTGGATTTAAATCGTTTTTTTTGTTGCCTTTTTAACACATTTTACTCTTAATAATTTTTTTCTTCCTTTTTTTTCAGGATCATTCCATTGAACTCTGCAATATGTCACCCGAAAACCAACATTGTGTTTTTAAAAACTCACAAGTGCGCGGGGTCTTCCATTCAGAACATTTTAATGAGATACGGATACACAAACAATTTGAACTTCGTTCTCCCCAGATCTGGAAATTATCTAGGACACCCTGTTCCTTTCAACCGGACGATGGTTGGACCGGGCAGATCTTTCCATATTCTTGCTCACCACACGAGGCTGAACTATGCAGAAATCCGCGCCATTATGCCACGTAACAGCATCTACATAACCGTTATCCGTAATCCAACCCAAGTGTTCGAATCCTTATTCTACTACTACAGTTTCGATAAATTGATGGACTGTGATATTCACAAATTTATAGAGAGTATGTTATCTTACAGTAAAGAATTCCTCACCAAAAGGTTCAAGAGGAAATATGGCGCCAACCAAATGTTCTTCGATCTAGGCGGTGATCCAGAGAGCTTTTTCAACGACACTTTGATGGTGAAGTACATAGATGAACTCGAATACTGGTTTGATTTGGTGCTGATTGCTGAGCGAATGGACGAGTCGCTGATTTTGCTGAGACATCTTTTGTGCTGGGAGATGGATGATGTCGTCACTTTCAAGCTCAACGCCAGGCATCCCATGTTTAAGAGCAATCTAACTGCCGCAGAGCAAACTAGTCTTTTAAAATTGAATCGTGCCGACCAACTCTTATACGACCGCTTTTATAAGAAGCACGAGGAACAAGTGAGAGCTTTTGGACAGAATAGAATGGATGCTGAAGTTGCCGAGCTTAGAAGAGTTACCCAAAACTGGTACCATCTTTGTGTGATGGGAGAATCGCCTTTCAAAAAGGGTTTCAAACCAACCAAACACTATGTGAATCCCAGAGTTTTAAAGATCGAAACTAATAAGAACGTTACCAACAGCTCTTGCAATACTATGACTATGGAAGAATTAGTTTTTACAGATTTGATAAGAAAGCGACAAATGTTGAAATACCCATTAAGCTTCAATCGAATAAAATATTTGCAACGTCCCGTAAATAGTCGATTAAGAAAATCCAAACTTAAGAAAAACATCATTTGAATTGTTCAAATCATTTATGTATTCTAGTTTTCAAGATTATTATGTTTTATAAAATTGATTTGTATTCAATATCTTCCGTTAACGTTCGCAAAACTATGAAACTTAAACTGCTGTATATCTGACAAATATTCTTTTGAGTGTAGCTTGTATTTTCTAGCTTGCAATCACGTTTTGCTCTGTTATATTTATTAAAATAATTGTGTGCTCCGTAAGATTGCAAAGCCTGGTTAAATTATAGCAAATGTTAAACACACACTCCTATTATTTTTTCTTTCAGTCATTTTAGAAACTGATATTCAGTTATTTTAGAAACTATATTATATTTTTCAAACGACTTTCTCAATACTCAAATTTAATCAGTGGTATTATTTCAAACGTTATCGATTTATGCGGTGCTACCAACCAGAAAAAGCCTAATCGTTGCACCAATTTTAATGTTGTGATGAGCATTGTTTATGTTGTCTGATGCCATTTTGTGGAGAGAAAAAAAACATCTGTCATTTATATTGTACGCACAGTTTGCTAGATTATAATGAGATTAGAGTCTTGGAATATGGCAAACTGGATCTTTATGTTGTAAAGAACGATATTGTGCCTTTGAAGTTCTATAATACAATATAATTTTTTTTTAAATAAAACAATATTTGTTTCACATACTCCTTACTGTTTTACTAGCTGAATACCCTTTCTTCAAACAAAATGAGAAAAAAAAATGTTAATAATCAAACCAAAGTAAATAAAAAAGTTTCGATTGCCGAAAGGCGATCAGAGGTTACTCATTGGCAAAATGGCTGTTGTCTAATTTTTTTTCTAACTAATTTAGTCTACATTCTTTGCCTTTAGCTTTTCCAGCCTCGGTAAGCTTAGGCTTTGGGACTTCTAACCTTCTTCTTCTTCTTTGGGACCGCGTCAATTAATTTGGGACCTTCTTTATTTGTGATATTCACTTGAATTAGTATTGAAAACGATCCAGTTTGAACAATAGGTTAGAATTTCTGATTCTTAATTCGCGATCGCAACGAACTATACGAACGTTGTTGTATGAGACGGAACCTGCGATTTCTATATGAACAGTGATTCAGTTACTCTAGAGACGTCTTTAATGTAGCACGTAGCATTGCAACGTTCCTTCTTTATTGTGGCTAATTAAATTTAAAAAAGAAAAATGCTTGATATTCTTTCTTATGCAAACGAAAACAAAATGGTATCTCTTTTTATTNCATACGTAGGTTATTAAGATTCATGAAATTTAACTTAAAATAAATATGAAATATTAAAACTGCATTCAACTCATAACTAATAATATAACAAAACGTGGAATAGTAAAGCGCTCAATTCAAAATAAAATAGCAATAGCATAACACTTCTCATTTCTGCCAATGAAAAGGAACTATTTCAGTACTCATAACCAACCAACCGTTTTTTTCTCGGTGACAATCGGAGATAGATAGACATATGATGCTCACTACCGTGCTCTTGCACGCCGAAGCCTATCAATTAAAACGTATTAGCGTTTTATATAACAGAAAAGAAATATCATCGGTTTTATTGATACATACGTACGTATTAGCGTTTTATATAAAAAGATAGATTCTTTGCCTTTAGCTTTTTCAGCCTCGGTAAGTTTAGGCTTTGGGACCTCTAACCTTTGGGACCGTGTCAATTAGTTCGGGACCCTCTTTATTTGTGATATTCACCTGAATTAGTATTGAAAACGATCCAGTTTGAACTATAGGTTAGAATTTCAGATTCTTAATTAAAACAATAAAAGCAAAAATATCGTGCAAATGATGAAATTTTCTTTTATTCACAACTCAAGAAGTATTTATGGGAACTCTCTGGTCCCATACCTCAAAAATAAACTCACCTACTTAATGCATAACAAAATTGAAAGTGAAAAAAAGAATTCGCGATCGCAACGAACTATCGGGGGCGTTGTATGAGACGAATACCTGCGATTTTTATATGAACAGTCATTCAGTTACTCTAGAGACGTCTTTAATCTAGCGTGTAGCATTGCAATGCTCCTTCTTTATTGTGGCTAATTAAATTTAAAAAAGAAAAATATTTGATATTCTTTCTTATGCAAACGAAAACAAAATGGTATATCTGTTTTTTAGAGAAGAAACATCCAAAACTCACCGGAAAAATATTTGTACATAAACAGAAAAAAATTTGTATATTCTTATAAGAGTTATAGCCTAATGCTCGAGAAATAGTTTTGCTAAATTTAATGATATAACATGAAAGGCCTATTTAAACTTTATATTCCATAGTTTTAAGAATCATATTACTTCAAAAATTAAAAAGAACAAAAAGTATACATAAGCCTCATAATTTTATGAAATTTAATTTTGTAAAAAAAGTTTTTTGACAACAGTTTTTATCAAAAAATTTCAAGTTCCAATAAAATTCATTATCTGGAAACTAAGAAACGTAAAATAAAGAAAGCTGACGAAACAAAAACAATTCTTTTTTGTCGCCATTTTTTAGTGCTACGAATATTCATCTTTGGGATTTTCCAAAAACAGAACAAGATGCAATTTTATTTTTTCAGGAGCGAAATATTTTACCGAAAAAACGAAAATGTACCAATTCCCACGACATGAAACTTATCTTGGTAAATTTACGTTTTGGAAATGTTATTTCATTTGGAATTTTATTTATCAGAGTTCATATGGCGATATCATTGTTTTGAATCTATGCTAAACTCTGCTTCAGCCCATTTTCCACCGAAATCCGATTGACTACTTTGATTTTAAATAAAGTGCTTTACTTTATGATTTCTCACAAAAATTTTAAGCATAGATAGGCGGCACTTAAAAACCGCCAAAACTGTAGCGGCGGTGGCGTTAATACGTAAGTACTGAAATTTTATTCCATACTTTTCTGAATCATATTACTTTAAACATTAGAATATACAAGAAGTATACATAAACACATAATGCTATACCATTTAATTTTTCAAAAAAAGTATTTTGACAACAATTTTTTATCAAAAAATTATAAACTAAAAAACGTTAAATAAAGAATTCTTAGGATAAAAAACTATTTTAAAAATTCTTTATATTGAAATAAAAACTTTCATATTGTTTCTTTTTTTTATTCATATAGTTCTTAATCAGAAGTAAAAAACCATACTGTAGAGAACTATCGTCAAATAAGAAAAAAAAATATTTACAAGCAACTTTTTTTTCAGAAAACCATAAATTTTTTTAAAGAAATAATTGCACCTTCATTGATTATTATTTAAAAATTAGTAATGTGTTATTGAGAATGTGATTAATACGACAGATGTATTAAAATATCAAAATTAAACTGGTACATTTGCAAGACATGAATTCTTTATCCACTCAGTGAAGTTAAATCTTAAAATAGCTCTGGGATACAACAGTATAGGTACATGTTCGCGCCAAATAACATTGCAAAGGCAGATGTATTAATTAATACATCCATTAATTCATTAGAATTGTGTTGTTTTTGTTGTTGTGACTTATCCACTAAATGTGTGACGAAATCAGACAAGGTCCATCAGACCGTTGACCCTTTGGAAGTCGAAGACCAGAAGGAAGGATGAGTACATGTCCTCTCTTGAAAGTTATATGTCTTCGGGAGAAATTTGCTCAGTTTGACATTTGGACCAGACCTCGAAGATTCTCCTGCCTTCGAAAAACGAGAGACTTTTTGTGTAACCACTTGCTAATCTGGAAATTGCAGTTTTAGAAGCTCTGTCACAATTGAGGGTGAATGAATTAAATTGTTGCCCATACTAGAAGAAAAATCTATATTCACAGAAAACTAATATTTTGCACTTGAAATTTCTCTAGAATACTTTCGATGACGCCAAGTACCATCGCCAAGAATTGAATGGTACACGAAGAAAATTTTAAAACATTATGTAGGGGCTTGGTCTGAGGTTGACTACGAGTTAGTCGCCTTCTGTTTGTATATTAATTAGTTTCTTACATGCCACTGTCTTTTTATTGCCAAAACTGTAATATAATGTGTGCAATTATTATTATTATTTTTTTTTTTTTGCAACTGGTGGCTGTTGTTATAAACGCATTTTCTTGCTTTGGATAAAAATTGGAGTTTTTAATCTTTTACTCCAATAAGGGTTCGCTTGTATTTTCTTCACAAATGCTTGCGAATCACATGCTTGGTTAGCTCTTTGTTTAAATATTGTATTTGTGTAGTTTCTTAATCAACTCATAAATTTTGTAAGAAACAAAAAGGGTTCTTTATAACGGGTAAACAAAAGGGATTTCTGGTGTGAAAACAAAGATTTTGATTAAAAAACAAAGCTCAAACATTATCCTCTTCATTGCAAACATATAAAAGTGACTTTTTGTTCTTTGTAGCTTTTATATTTGATAATTTCGACTGGTTTAACAAGCTTATTAGTCTTTTCGTTTTTGAGAAAACGAGTAAGACTTTTCAATCAAAAATCTCAATATCGAAATAATTTGATGGCTTATTAGAACTTAATAATTGTGATTTGATGGCTTATTAGAACTTCAGTAGAATGTTCTAATTTGCTCATTTTTTTATAGATAAATTATTAGAAAGATAAGGAAATTCAACAAAGATTTCAGACTTTATGCGAATCTAACTACACCTGTGCTACTTTATTATCCAACTGATAAATAAGTTCATATGAAAATTAAACCACACTTTACTTTTGCATTGATCCTCTGACGTTAGTTGAATATCTGTCAAACTAATCTCGTCAGACAATCTTCGTTTTAAATCTTTAATGCAAATTTGGCATCATTATGTGTGTAATCTCTTCTTTTTTTTCCTGTGTTATATTTAAATCAATGCTCATCTGCCAAACTTTTATTATAAAATTGTAGAAGAGGGAATTTCTGTGTTTTTCCCCCCATTTAGCATTTACTTAGAGCAGGGAATCTCAACTATTGTGTCGCCAAATGTTAGAAATGATAAGGGAAAATTAAAAGGCATTTTTTTTACCAGTAAAGTTTAAATTAAAGCTAAATATAGCAAGCTAAATATTAACTTAAGAAAGGAAATAAAAGATAACAATTAAAATAAGCTATGTAATTAATTGTTATAAAAACAAACTAGGAAGCTGTTTGTATACTTTTTTGAACACTGAAGTTCCGAAAACTTTAACTGCAGAAAATTCTAAACCTGTGCATTTCAATATTAATTTGAAATTGCGAACAGTTCACATATTTTTCTTANAAAACTAGGAGGCTTCGCCCCCTGCTCGCTGGCGCTCGCCAACCCTCGGAAATGCTTTCGCAGTTCATTTCGGATTGCTTTGCAATCCGTTCTTAACGTCTAGCTTCTGTATACTTTTTTGAACACTGAAGTTCCGAAAACTTTAACTGCAGAAAATTCTGAACCTGTGCATTTCAATATTAATTTGAAATTGCGAACAGTTCACATATTTTTCTTAATCACACTATTCTAAATTTCAGTTGTTGAGAAAAGTAACTGTTGTAAGTTTTGTTTTAAAGTCTTTCCCACCAGAGGGCTAAAACCATGTGTTGTA